TGCAACAAGTACTGGTGCCTGAAACTGGCTGGCGTCTCATACAAGAGGATCTACAACACAGCGGGAAAGCGACGGCCAAACGACAAAAAGTGGACCCTGCTCAACGGGCAATGGATCTGATGGAACAAAGCAGGGACTTTGGGACAAGAGTATACCCGGTGGATGACGACGATGATGGCACTACGAACAGCAATGACTTCAACGACACTCATGACAATGGTGGACCCTCCGGTGACGATGAAGACGCTAACGACTTTACCGACATATTGGAATTCGTATCCTCGGGCGAAGAATCCAACCATAGTTAGCTACCAACATTATGGCTTTTAGATACTTTTATACTGTATACTCTTGTCTTCTTTACCTTTACGCATATAGAAATGTCCAATTGCAAATAAACACTGTGTATGCTCATCACTTTCACCATTTCTGGGTCTTTCCAATAAAGTACTTGTAGGTGACATTCATGCAAAGCGGATCGATACAAATATAGAGGGGGATATGTTGGAGTCTTAGATGTCCGTTCTCAGGTTTTTGGTTTATACATGTGTGTGTGTTGTGCTACTATTGAATCGTACAAGTACGGAGTCAATGGTGTGGTCAAGGTTACTATGGAAACCCGGGAGTGAAGGAGAAGGCGGGGAATGCTACAGACAGAACCATCCGGGCAGAACCAACCTGCGTATCCTGAATTTTGCTGACAATAAGGACTTACATGGCAGGGGACTCTCTGAATCCCTGACTTCAGTCCCGGTCATAGATGGGACTCAACTTGAAATAAGGATAAAACCGCCCCTGTCCACACATTCCTCCAACATGTGTGCCTATGCACTCTAGATTTCAACCCCCGATTGGCTATAAGATTATTTTTTGGCCCGTCCTATTATTTTGCTCCTTCTTCCCCTCGTCATTACTTTTTTGCCTCCATTGTCATTCTCTTTACTCCACGACGTCAAACGAACGAACGGACGAGCAAACAAACGAACGAACGGTAACTCTCCTCTTCTCACGTCATGTTCATCTTTTGCTGACATTACTAACTTTTTGCCTTTTGCATCGTTCCTCTTTCTTTTAACACTAGATCGGCTACGACGATGACGACAGCAATAGGGACGACGACGATGCTAATGACGACTCCACCACTGCTTCATGTCGCCCAAAAAGGCTCTTTTTAAAATTTTAAAATGTAAAAAACATGGGGAAACCCTTGCAAATTTTTTTTAGGTGCGCTCCCGATCCATTGTAGAATCTCGTAGTCCAAGTTACTGATAAAAGTATACCAATTCTTTGCCCGTACCCTTCCGCTACTATCTTTGATACTTTTACACAGCTTGGCCGTCTTTGTCTGCCTCCCATTGCTTGATTTTTACAGTAGCTTAGTCATTCTCATTACAACCCGTCGCCATTTACACATTAGCTTAGCTCCGGCCTCAAACATAGTCAGTACCATAGCCCATTAATCCTATTGTACCAATAAAACTTTGTATGTATGCGAAGATATACCTAACGATCATGTACATGTCATTAGATTCATTACAGCTAGTAAAGCAACGGTGTTTTAGGATTTGTTAATGGTGAGCTACTCATTTGTAGTTTGGTCTTTATAATGTACATGTTATTGTCATGGTTATGGATTTGAAAAACGCCTTTCGTACGATGATTCAAGTAGGTTTTATTGATGGGATAGGACTAAAGGGCTATGGAACAGGCTATGTTTGGGATCGTAGTTAAGCTAATGTCTAATGGCAACAAGCTATTGTAATGGGAATGACTAAACTGCTGTAAAAGTAAGCAAATGAAGGTGGAAAAAAACGGCCAAGCTGTGTAAAAGTATCAGTAATAGTAGCGGAAGGATATGGTCAAAGAATTGGTTCACTTTTATTAGTAACTTGGACTACGAGATTCTACAATGGAATGGGAGTGCACCTAAAAAAAAATTGCAAGGGTTTCCCCATGTTTTTAACATTTTAAAATTTTAAAAAGAGCCTTTTTAGGCGGCATGAAGCAGTGGTGGAGTCGTCATTAGCATCGTCGTCGTCCCTATTGCCGTCGTCATCGTCGTAGCCGATCTAGTGTCAAAAGAAAGAGGAGTGATGCAAAAGGCAAAAAGGTAGTAATGGTAAGCAAAAGATGAACTTGACGTGAGAAGAGGAGAGTTACCGTTCGTTCGTTCGTTTGCTCATTCGTTCGTTCGTTTGGCGTCGTGGAGTAAAGATAATGACAATGGAGGCAAAAAAGTAATGACGAGGGGAAGAAGGGGCAAAATAATAGACTAAGAAGAGATTTTTATTAAGTCTGAACTTAAATGGACCTTGAAGCACTGGGACTGTGAGTCAAATCTGCTACGCCCGGGGTCGGAGTGAGTGA